AAGCAAAATCTAGGAAACTGTTAATGTTTCTAGACTGCTCCTCTTAATTTCTTCTCATCTCTGCTAATAAAAATGATATAAGCAGAATGTTTTTCGAGGCATTTGAAGCAGGGAGCCATCGCAGCCAAAATGTTTACCAATGTGTTAGAAAGCGTGGGCTACAGTCGAGAAAAGGAAGGCAAGAAGTACGGCACCCGACTCATAGCGCACTCCTACGCAGAGCTGCCTCTACGCCTGTGCATCACAGGACTGGAAAACAGCTCTGCACATGTGCCTGAAACTGTGTGAAACTGGAAGATCCCTGAACAAAACATCACAGTCACATCACAATAACCAACATATAAGTTACTTAGCGATGGAGGAAAGGAAGGTAACTTGGTCAACTTGAGTAAAATACTGTGCATTTAACTTGTTTGAGTTTTGGGTTAAATGATTGGTATGAACTAACCGCACATATATAGAATGTAGTCAGAATACATGGATGAATGAAATCTTTATTTTGAACATTTAAGTATCAAATGTTAATAACTGAAAGAAACTCACACAAGAACAAAATAAAAGACAACTGTTATATTATTGTGATGAAACCCCATTGACTGAAATCCCCCAAATATCTACCATTTCCTGTTCACTTCCTTTCCCCCTTTTTAATTTATCATATATTTGTGTTCCTGATTATATAGCCTAATATTTACATATGCACTAGCTATAAATACATATACATATCTAAACACAGTCTCTTTCTACATGAATATATACATATTCATGCTGTGATCTATGATTGTATATCTGCACCTATCTAAAAATATAGTTTTTTATATATAATTACCCATAATAATTTTACAATGCAGCCATTATATCACCCTGCAGTCAGAATATCCAGTCAGTGTCACAACATAGAATTTAATATTTAACACATTGCTTCATCCACATAATGCTTTATATTTTTATAACCCTCCTTCTCTTCTAAAATATAAAATATTAAGTATGGCAGTTTGTTTACAAAATAAACATTTATTATTTGCATCTAGATGGCAGACGCGGTCTGAAAAGTCTGCAGAGAAACCTGAAAACTTGATTGTGGAAAAGTGTGACATTTTGAAAGGGAAACATGTAGAAACACTGCTCATAGTAAACTGATTAACTGACCCTTTGCCAAAGCAGTATGTGCCAATGCTGTCCTTTTACGAGAGTGAAAACACAGTTGGAGTTCATGTCATCCAAACATAAGAGAATATCTGAGACATATGAATCAAGTCTTTCGGTGTTGCTTGGACACCAGCAGGTACAGTGATATGTGGCATGGAGCTGCAAATCACTCTTGCCTCAGCATAAACAGTCCTTAATCAGACACCAACTGTCACACTGAAGTTCTTCTCTACGTACCTGCAGCCACTACACTATACACTACAGCAGGGGTCCCCAATCCCAGTCCACGAGGGCCGGTGTCCCTGCAGGTTTTAGATGTGTCCTTGATCCATCACAGTTGATTTAAATGGATAAATTACCCTCTCATCATGTCTTGAAGTTCTCCAGAGCCCTGGTAATGAGCTAATCATTTGATTCAGGTGTGTTGACCCAGGGTGAGATCTAAAACCTGCAGGGACACTGGCCCTCGTGGACTGGGATTGGGGACCCCAGCACTACAGACTATTAACTGTCTTTGCTAATAAGAACCACCTTCAGAGTGTTCATAAGAAATATTTAGTCCTTAAAGTCCTTTTACAACAAATGTATCCACATACTGTCTATTAAATTCACTGTTCCCTCTTCATGACAAAAATCATTTTTGTGTTCGTTTTACAGCCACTCTGGTTGTAAACAGTAATGCACTGCCTTGTGGAGAGACTGGAAAAGATTACTGGCAACATTGCCAATAAATGGCTGACACTAACATAAATGTTTGACCTTTACGAAGTTGAAAGGAAGTGATATTTTGATGCGCTTGTGTGCTATTAAATTATGCAGGACATTTCAGAATAAACTTCTCTATATCAGTCTGGTCTGCCGATTCAGTAAGTGAATAATGAATGAGGGGCGCCTCCAGAAGGAAATGTATCCTATACCACGTAGGGTTCGTGCTTTCCTCGGACAAATGCATTGATTTGTCGCCCCTGTAGGCCTCCGACAAGACTACGCCTCTACCTCAGTCACAGCCACGGCCACGGCCACGGCCAGCCGTCGCAGCTCCAGCTTCTCCTTGCACACCCTCAGGCGCAGTCAGATGGATCTCGAGGAGGAGGACGAGGAGGACGAGGGTTACGACCAGCTCCCACCTCCACAGCCTCGACTGTTCCGCACAGGCTCTATGCAGCGGGGCAGCCTGCCCCACTCTCACACCTTCTCCAGTTTCAGAGACTGCAGACGCAGCTCAGCCACCCATCAGTTTTCACTCAGTGGACACTCCCAGTACTCTGGACCCTCTAGCCTGATCACAGAGACACAAACAGCATACACAAATAGCACAGGTGAGTGACCTGATCTGATCTGGGAACATGTCTGATAGATGACTGTTAAAAACTCAGGGATCAGTCAGTATCTTTGGACTTCCAGTAGACCACACTTCTTGTTCTATCAGCATGTCTATCTTTATAAATGCTGAAGAGATTTTAAAATCTGATAAATGTTAATCAGGTGATAGCTAAGTGTTTCAAGATTGCATTTCAGCAAATACAATCATTTTGCTCTTCACACACTGTTTATCTGCATGCAACCAAGGCCCGCTCAGATGTAATTAGACTAAAAGAGGAACGCAAACAGAAAGCTATTAAAGCACAGTTGTCCCTTCTCTACAGATTGCGTGTCTTTATATGCAGATATCAGTCTATAGAGATAACTGCATGACTGACTAATTGTTTTAGTCTAAGACAGATACTGCTGTTACTTTAAGGAGCAAGTATTAGACTTCCCCCCTCTTTAAAGTCCTAAGTTCAATTAAGTCAGTATAGTTAAAAGAATAGTCAACATTTTGAGTGGACCACATGAAAAGATTCATTCATTAATGGATATGACGTGTCATTCTGCTTAAATTTAAAGTGTAAAACTAAGATGTGTTTCTACAGGAGAAAATGCTATGTATTAAATATTTGCTAAAAGCGCTTACTTTCATATTCACCAAAATGTCCCCTAAAAAATCCTAAAACTTTGAAAAGCCAAAAAAAAAGCTAACTGGGCACCTGCAATACCTGATCAGCTTTGTTGATGTTGTTGCATAGACAAGCTGCGAAGAAGCATGCCCAACCTGATCCGAGCTCCCAGCATGCCTAGTGTCCCCAGCATTCCATGCCTGGCTTCCCCTGTCAACCCACCCTCCCACGGTCCCTCCTCTTTGCCAACGATGCCCTCCCTCCGGAACAGCCAGAGCTTTGACTCATCGAGTGGGCTTGCACGACTTCAATCCTCCAGTAAGACGCCTGTTTTTATGTGTGCGATGATCAAAGAAAGGAAAAAAAATCGCTTTTATAAACTGTTAACGCTCAGCCTAATGATGACAACTTAAAATCTAGGGATTGCAGTGACACTTTTGCTTCATAATATTCCTTCAGTTCCTTCCCCAGGCCAGCTCAGTCAGCGAGTCCAGAGTGTCGGGAGCTTCCCTACAACAGCACGACACACTCTAAAAGCCACAGCCTACGTAAGCCCCACAGTCCAGCAGGGACCCACCTCCACCTCTCTGTCCACCTCTGCCAGTCTGAACTCCATCTCCAGCAGTGCCGCGCTGCTTCAACCCCTCAAACCCAGCAGCAGCATTAGTTTGCTGCCACAGGCCCTCAAACCCACCAGCACCAACCAGTCAGCTGTCCCCCGCAGTTCCCTCCCTCGGCCAGCCTCCTTCATAGGAACAAGTGGCGTTCCACGTCCCAGTAAAATCACCCAACCCACGCGCAGGTAAGCACACATATGCTAACTCCTTTGGGTTTAAAGGAGAACTACACCAACATGAGTACTGACGAGCATGTGCAAAAAGGCACTTGATAACTTCAAATTTAGACCTGATGAGAAGGTTATCTCAGGGGATCACCAGAGGTGGTAAAATTCATCCTCTGATGACAGTAAAAGAATAATTTTCTGAGCCATGAATTGGTTAATCAATTGAAGTATATGATGACAAACCTGGTCAGACTATTAGTGTTTTCAGCATGTGGGTGAGTGGTATTGTAGCAATCTTTAGGTGTGGCATCGGTGGTTCAATGGTAGAATTCTCACCTACCACACTGGATTCACAGGTCTGATTCCTTTTTATTTATCCTTGATTAACTTATATGCTTATATAATGTTGGGTTTTTTTCTGTCTGCAGTTTGCTTACTCCTCCAAAGAGCCTGGCTGCTCTGAGTGCCCTGAGGGACGGCAGCTGGAAAGATGGCTGCTACTGAACCCAAATAAGCTGAAATTTGAGAGGTGCACAGGGTATCGCTGTGTAGGCACCAGCTGATTTAAAATGTCTCTTTCAGCAGGTCTCTAGACTTGGGCTGCGACCTGTGAGAGTGACAGATATCATGAATATAAGCACTACTCCTTGCTGAAGGACAAAGTGAGGACTGTTGAGCGTACAGGTCCAGCAGGCTGGATCTTAACCTTGACTTGACACACCATGAAACAACCAGGCAATACTCTGATAATCAGCTGTTAAATGTGAAACAGATCCTCTCTGATATGTGTTTCTTGGTTTGTCGTTGTTAATTCTTGCATTGAGCAGAATAAACGTCTCTCTCCAACCGAAAGCTTAGAAAAATATATCCCATGCTTTTGTACATGCTTTTAATGATTTCATATGATTAGTTTCGGAAGTACTATTTTTTTCAGGCTGTGGTGTCAGATATGAAGTTGAACCTGAAGTTGGAATTTTATTACTTCCCGTGCCTGTAAAAAAAAAAAAAAAAGTGAAAAAGAAGAAGAAGTAATGTAATTTATGTTCGTTATACTTATTGGCTGGACCTTGCAGCACTTTGGATCAGAATTCTGATTAACACATTCAGTATTAGATCCATTAATGACCTTGTACACACTTTATCTTTTGTTTAGTTTCTTTTTATTTAATGTTTACATTTAATTCCGAAATGTTCTTTGATAAGCGTAACTGCTGCAGTGATATTGCACAAGGAGCCCTCATGCTTTTAATGGATGGCAAGAAATTAAAGAGGAAGTGAATTTTTAAAGTGAATAAAAGCATTTCAAAACGTTTTTTCATTCTTCTTCATTAAAATTGTTTGTAAAGAATCGAGGGGGAAAATAGGTAAATTGCAAAAGGGGAAAGGGATTGCAGCCAGTGATGAGCTGCGGAAACCCTACCAGGAGCATGTTCCCCACGAAGGCGTAACTATAGGCTCTCTAGGACACACAAATGCCTCAAATTTTTTTGTTTTTATGTCTGAACGCCTCCAGTTGTTTTGAGCATCTCCCACTAGCACGAGATGCCTGAGCAGACCAAGGAAATTATGTCTCCTGGCTGGTTTGGGAACAGGTGGCTGGGGACTTAGACTTCTGCCCCCCATGACCTGGCCATCGAAAAGTTGCGAAGGGATGGATGAATGGGGAGTTGTAGCTCTACTTACTGCAGTTCAAACTCTATGCCTTCTTTAACTCAGATATGACTCAGCTTAAAAGCATTTGGAGTAATGGTGGCCTAAGGATGAAACCATATTCCTGTATTCTTCCCTAGTAAAAATACCAAACTAAATTAAATTCAGTCCTATATTCCTTCAAGTGTAAAGTATATCTGAATGCTAATATCGCTGATATTATGGAAGCTACTGCTCAAAAAATAAATGTAGAATTCAGTTTTAGCACATTACAGTTAGGGGGGTTTGAGGTTTTGGAAGATTCACTGTGGCAGCTGTTAGTGTCACAAGGTGGTCACAAAGTGACTAATGTTTAACAAGTGAGTATGTTGATTTTAAATCTCCAGAGTAACACTCAAACACGCTCTACTTTAACATACTGTACCTCAGGGAAGGTGACTAAAATCTCATATCTTTTATCTTTTGCGCAAAATCATTAAACCAGACCTGAAGACAGATATTGAGTGCACAGTGCTGACCTTTTGGAGTTTTTGATAATGCCCAACAAAGCCCAGGAGGTATGTCTAATCTGCTTTCATCTGCACTTTTGCGCAGATCATTTATACTAGATCGTTTTTCTCAATGGAATCCCCCCTCTCTCTTTTTTTTTTTTGCTTACAGGATGCTGTGATTAATCTAAAGACGCTGCAGGAGATTTCCAGGCAGCTCGGTTTTGAGTGGACAGTTTTGGCATATGAGCTTGGCTTCAACAGAACTGAGATAGGACGCTTCCACGCCAGCTCTACAGAGAAGAGTGTCCAGGCCAAGGCCATGCTGGAAAGCTGGTAAAGTCTGTGTGTATTCTTTTGAAAGTATCGTGTGCTTTGTTTAGAAATTGGTGTTTCTAAATCAAAAGCCAACATCTGATTATCTTAGCAGTGTTTAGTCCAATTTTATACGTCACCTGAAATCATTGTAGTCTTAAGAAATTGAAGTAGATGCCCAGCGATCTCATGTGAGAAACTTAAATAACTTATTTGTGTTTTACCATGGTCACTTGGGCTCTCTAGACACTCTGTCACTTTTATACAGTTCTTTTTGATTTTGGCTTTTTATACATCAGTGAATTTCTCTTCTTTCCATGAAATACTTTTTAGAGGTCCCTCTTTATTCACAGGTACGAGAAGTCATGGGACAAGCCAAATAAGACCAAGCTGCTGCAAGACGGACTGGAACGAGCTGGCAGACGGGACCTGGCTGAGAGACTGCATTGCCTTCACTGGGGTCACCAGAAACTGAGTCAAAGGGTGGAGCTTCCCTCTGCCTTCCCCTTCCTCATCACAGTCCACAGGACCATCGACAACCGAGACGCACTACGTAAAATCAACGATCTAAGTCGTAGATTCACTTAAACCTGGGTGAAAACGCAAGTAGCTGTGGCTATGTCTGTAATTTGTGTTCTACGTGTGCATATGTGATACTGCAAAGAAGCAAACGGACTCAGAGTCAATTAACCAACAAATCATGATATATGCTACTTTTTGTAGTGCAAGAAATTAAAGCTTTGCAATAAGGATAAAGGCTGTCTTTGGAATCCTAAATAAACTTTTGATTTTAAAAAGTTTATTTATTTTAATTGATGTACAAACGACAAAGGTCAAGACAGTTTATATGGATCAACTGTGTATATATGTTGTTATAGTTGGCTACAAAGAGCACAGGTGTAAATGGAAAAGTCTGCAGTAAGGTATGGCTGATGGGACCATTTTAAGGAGAGATAATTATTGGTGGATATGTATACTGCATTTAAACAAACATCTGACCATAAAGGGCCAATATGCACATGTGGCTGAATGATGCATATATTAAACTGCAGTGCAAGGGACATGATTTTTTAATGATGGTATGAATCCATATATTTCATATTTTTTATGCATAGTGTCTGGCTGTCACATATACCACAGAGAAGAAGCTCTAATGTGTTACAGCAAATCAAATAAATAGCCCATGCCAGAATATGAGACTTCAGTATTAATCATAAATGGGGTTGGGGGAGTTATTAAGCATAAAAGTAAAATATTATAGTTTTATAGTGGCAATATGTGCTGGACAACTATCTAACTGAGAGCAGGGACTCATAAAACACATTTATTGATTCACGCTGAGAGTTGGATGAAAGGATGACACCACAGATGATGATACCGCCTTCACCTCAGCTTAATAATCTATTATCTATTTTTATTATTTAGTTTACTAAACTTAGTTTATTATTATCTGAGGACAAAATGTAAAATTTGACTGTAAAAGGATTACATTAATAATTTTGCTTAAAGGCAGTAAGGACTGAGACCACGTGAGCAATTAGAAATAATACATAAGTATTAATTGAAAATATGGTAATGATATAAAATGAAATAACACAATTACATAAAAATACAAATAAACATATAAGAAATATAGATATATTAAGATTATTACAAAATAGTATTAGTTTCTAAAAAAAATATAACACAATTATATAAAAATACAAGTAAACACACAAGACATAGAGGTCTATTGTTTAATTTCCAGAATTATCCGCTTTAGCAAAGGGGAAAGTAGTGGGAGGAACCATATTATGTTCCAATCAATCAAATTCAGTTGACCCAGTTGCACAAACCAATCAGAGGGCACTCTTTTTTAAGCAAGGTTGTATGAGTGCGCAACGAGCCAGTGTGGAAGTTAATCAAAGAAACCTTCAAAATAAGATTTTATTTTAATTTTTTATTTAAAATACAAATTTGCGTATTTTAAAATGAGATTCGTGGACAAAGTAGAATACTAAAATCCACCCAGAGCGTATAGCACTGCTTAAAAAGAGGAAATAAAACAACGCGCGATATCTATACGTACAACTGTACTTTATTATGGAAGTTCTTCTCGGAATATGTAGCTCAAATCCTGGCCGTGTTGACGTTTGTGCCAGCTGCTACACTCAAAACAGAAAACAGCAATGAGGAGGAATTTAGTGAAAATGAACGTTATCGGTAAAGCAGCTCCTTGGAAGTGGTGTGCGGGTCTTTTTCTACTTTGACCGTGACATTATGCTCATTTACAGGCCGACAGCTGCCGGATTTCAGACATCCCGGCGACCGTTCAGCTGTTAAGTCGCTGTTGCATTTATCCACACTGCTTATGTTTGATTTTCACGTGTAAACGGACGTGTCATTATCAGAGCTCGGGGAACTTGCCGTTACCGAGCATGTTTACCGCATCACACGGTGCTTTTTGAAACACTGGCCGACGTGAAATAGCTAACTGATCGCTTAAGTTGCAACAATGGCCTCGGCGCTGAGTTGCTTCAGTGGTCCCGAGGTGCTGGAGGACGCCAATCACGCTCGGGGTTTGATGGACGGGTTGAAGTTGCTTTACGATTGCCGGCTGCTCGGGGACGTTACTATCGGAGTTGAGTGGGAAGAGGAGTCTTTGGAGCACAGCGGCAACCCCACCAGAGGTGCCATCGACCAACTTTTCTTCTGCAGCCGCAACGTCCTGGCAGCTGCTAGCCCCTACTTCAAAAGCATGTTCACCGGTGGGTTAAACGAGAGCGTGCAGGAAACTGTGGTCATCCGCGGGGTCGATCCTGAGTCTATGTCCGTCATCATCGATTACTGCTACACTGGCAGGGTGACCATCACGGAGAGTAACGTGCAGAGGCTGTATGCAGCGGCCAACATGCTCCAGCTGGAGTACATCAGGAAAGCTTGCTCCAGTTTCATGACAAGGAGACTGGACTTGTCTAACTGTGTGGGGGTACTGAAATTTGCTGACACCTATGATAACCCCGAGCTGAAGGAGAATGCGCAAGCTTTCATTGCCAGGAACTTCGGCCTGGTGTGTAATGGGGGGGATCTTTGCGAGCTGGACCTGAAGCAGCTGAAGGAGTTGCTGTCTCTGGACACCCTGGATGTGGATTGTGAGAAGAAGGTGTGCTCGGCTGCTTTGCAGTGGATCGAGGCGAACGCAGCACAGAAAAAAGAGGATGCGCTGCAGGCACTAAAGTGTGTCCGCTGGAACTTGTTCACTGAGAAGGACAAGTGTTACCTGGAGAGCCTCATGGCAAGGCCTTTCATTGAGAAATACCTGGCATCATTTTTTAACAAGTCCCCCGAGGACGGCTGTGTCATGTCTGCTACTCTGGATGTGCCAAAACACAGAATAGGTGTGAGCGCAAAAGAGATGATCCTCTTCTTTGGCCTACCTAATGACAACATAATGTGCTGTGACCCATACTCGGAGGATCTGTACTTCATGGCCCCTCCTTTAGAGGATCTGAGCAGTCAGGATTACAAACGCTCCACCATGGAGTCCTTAATTGCCTGTGCCACCCCTGAAAACAACTTGTACTTGGCATCCCACCTCTCGAAACACTTCTGGCTTTACAACCCTGTGCTCAACAGCTGGCAGGAGTTGGCAGAGAGGCCACTGGGCAGAATACATTCTGGAATGGGCTACCTCAATGGGCACGTGTACCTTCTGGGAGGAAGAAACCCGGTGACGGATGCCAGACTGAAGGAGGTGGAGTGTTACAGCGTCCAGAGGAACCAGTGGACGTTTGTGGCTCCTCTGCCTCATTCTCTGGGTAAAATGCAGGTGGTAGCCCTACATGACCACTTGTACGTGGTGAACAAAAGGCGAATGCTTTGCTACGATCCCAAGAGGAACCGCTGGCGCCACTGTGGGTCACTGAGGCGAGACAAGCTTCACAAGGCCTGCGTGTTCCAGGACCAGATCGTCTGTGTGTGCGACATCCCTGTGGTGAAAGCCTACAGCCCCACTAGGGGTGAGTGGAAGAGGCTCGGCGACATTCCCATCGACAGCCGAGCTCTAAATTACCAGGTGATCCAACACAACGGCAAGCTGCTCCTCCTCACTCAGACTTTACTGCAGCACAACAAGAACAGAGTCCTAATCCACGAGTACGACCCGGCCAGGGACACGTGGAAGAATATCATGGCGGTGTACGTGTCCACGCTGGGGCCCGTATGTGTTTCAACGCGTGTTTACCCAGCGTGCCTTAGCTCTGCCCACAGCTTCTCCACAGAGGAGGACGATGACAGTGGCTCCAGTGCAGACTGGGATTTTGACGGGCTGACAGACGCAGATTCAGACTCTGGCAGCTCTAGCTCATTCTCTGATGAGAACTGGTAGTGAAATGTGTTGCAATGTCAAAATTAATTAAATTATTGGGTTTTTACAGGTTGGTTTTGTCTAACGGGGAGCATTGAAGTATTTATTCAGTGTTAAAACAGTCCGGAGAAGCACAGGTTGTTAAAAAATGTATATTTTCGTACGTCTGATCAGTAAAGTTAATATTGGGACACATAAAACCAGAGAAAATGTTTACTGTGCCTCTTTCACAGCATTTCTGCTGGGCAAATACAGGGGTTACTAATTGGGAATAATTGCAATTCTTTGCAATAATTGCTGGAACTGAGCCTTCACTTAACGCTGTTACTTCCAACCTTGCTTTTCCTGGTTCAAAAATGTCAGAGAATCTGTGGAACTACACTTGATCCATGTGGAAACAGAGTGGCAGTGAAAATGGATTAGCAGTAGTGCTTTGCGTCTTTTGCGTGCCACACCTAAAGGTTTCACATGGATGCCACATCTGTAATGCTTTCGTCACATGCTTCCTGAGGACCTTCTCTCCTAGCTCGTAGAGCCTGTGAGAGATTTGTCCACGCCAAACTGGAGCTGAGATATTTGAGTGATGTCGCTTGACAAAGCTGTACCAGAGAGCTACAGAAGAACCTAAAGCTGTACGAATGTGCCCACTAGTACTCCTGAGTGGAGAGCCGCTGTTAAGCTTTAACATTATGTTACATGAGCCTTTTCTCTTTAGAGTGAATAAATGAGCATGCAAGCTTAAGATCAGCGTGAAATCATGGCTTGAGTGTTTGTCATATCAGACATCTCAAGTGTCTCTTGTTTATGATTATGAAAGAACTGGGCTTTAAAATTGATGGTCCTTTTTATGTAGTTGATGCACACAGCGACATCACACACACACACAGGCGGTGCTCCAAAAACTGCTGTGTGAAGTCTAGGAGCCAATGTACTGTACACTCTCTCAGGTTTAGCCCATTTGCGATGACAGAGGTTCCTTTTTAGATGTAGTGCGATCACAATGTTTTGGTGACAAATGATTTTGTTTGAAATCACAGAGTGTATGTGTGTGTTTTCTTATCTATACTTTATTTTTAATGTGTGTGTTGCAACAGTCTTTTGGGGGGGGAGGGGTTTTGAGTATTGCTTGGGTGTGATGATTTATCTGCTTGCCAGAAGACTGCAGAGAAGCCATTGTCCCAGACAAGCAACCCCTACGCTATTTGCACTTACTGAGATAAATGGTGGAGATAAAATATTACATATCCTCATCAGCAGAATGCTGGATCACACAAAATAATGACCATACAGTTGAATCAGCACCTCTGAAAACACTGAAGAGTTTAATCATGAGTGACTCTTAGTCAGGGGTTTTTATCAAGCAATTTTGGGAGTAAAGGGGGAGGAACTGTGGGTAATGACATGCAGCAAAGGCGTGGTAGAAATGGAGCTGCTGGTTCCAGAGCTGGGTTTACAAAATAAACTGTTAAAATAGTGGAGTCCCGACTGTCTCTCTGATGAATAATGAAGTTTCTTGAAGGAGATGGGGTGCTTGGCTGTGGATTATAAAGCTGTTTTTGGTAAATGTGTCAAATAAACATCAGTGTATGCTGCAGAGCTACAAGTGCGTGTAGTGCTGAGTTTTACAGAAGTCGTATTTATTGCCACTGCATGGTGAAACTGGAAGGTTCGGGTTCTGAAGACTGGTCTTGTGAGTATTGTGAGTTTAATATGGTGCAAAACAGAAACATAGTTCAAAAAGGTTCTAATTCCCGGAGGATTGAGTTTTAATAGAAAAATGTGTCATTAATGAAAGTATTGGTAATACTTTTTTCTTTTTTATGAGACATTCATGATGTGTTGACTGATTGAATTGCTACAGAAAAGCAGCAATTAAAAAAAAAAAAAATCATGTTTGTATTTATTTGAGACTGTCTCTGTTTAATGGATTTCCATTGTTAGATGTTCTCTTTGTTTCTTTTTTGTAAGTTGTACAAATTTGTATGAGGTTAATATATTTGTGCTCTTGGAGGATACCTACTGAAGTGTTTGTGGTTGAGTGATATGTCTGTATGTAAATAAGTATAATAGCATACATGATTTTAAAAATAAAAATTTATAGATTTAAAAAAACTTTTCTGAAATATTTTGTACTGACTGTGTGGAAGACTTGATCCACCCCTCATTTCTTTTTTTCCAAGCAGTTAGACTTTCTAGTCTTTTTTTTTGTAAGTGTTTTTTCTAAGAAATAGCAGAGGGTGGGTTGTTGCTGTTCCTTGAAGGCAAATCGGGATTGGAGAGATTGGCTGCCATGAGGTCATTCTCAAGGAGGGGAAGCAGAAAAAAATCGACACAACCATGCTGTCATTTTTGTGTATGGCCAAATGACATAAAACCTGGACTGAAAATCTGTGTCTTGCGAAGTGATGGATCCAAATTTGACATTTTCACTCAAGTCATAAATATTTACAGAGGAGATCGGGAGAGAGGTATGACAATGAGCATCTACATGCATCTTCAAAACACAGTGGAGGCTCTGGATAAACTGGGGCTCTACTTCAGCCAGCGGTGTTGGGGGTCTAGTCAAAACTCATGAAAGTAATTATGACTGCAGTAAAGCACCATCAGATTTTTATTGGAAAGTATCTGACTGGCAACAGTCTAATTTTTCATTACAACTTCAAAATCACTAAATACTGACTTCAGACTTGATAGAATTGAATTCGTCTATTTTTTTTTTTTTTTTTTTACCATTTATTCAATTCAAAATAGGATACAACCCCCCAGTAATTAAAAAGAAAGGAAATGGGAAAATAATCTCTAACCATATTCCACGTTACATTTTTTAATTGTTCTTTTCCTCTAGCAAGTTCTCTATCGGATCTCTACAGAATAATGTGTACAGCTAAATAACACAAGAATTTGATGAATTGCTTGTATTCTGCACGTAGCCTACAGCAACATTTAAGTACATAGGTTCAAAGGTACTCTCCTTTGGAGTCTCGCGATATTTCAGAGCTGTAGCCCCGTCCAGACCGCGAGAAGATGAGCAATGGCAATAGAAAACAAACATGGGGAGGAATTTGACACAATTTTCAGTCGAAACGACTCCCTGGAGCTCTCCTCTCACCACGAATACGACACTACACACGCTCGGATTTTCAAGATAATAGTAATAGGAGACTCAAATGTGGGGAAGACGTGTTTGACCTACCGGTTCTGCGGGGGCACTTTCCTGAAAAACCCTGAGGCAACTATCGGGGTCGATTTCAGAGAGAGGACGTTGGAGCTGGACGGAGAGAGTATCAAGGTGAGAAGTCCTACATTTTAAGAAAGGCACACGGCAGATACCTTTTAACGTCCACCGTTTTTTTTTTGTCTATGTTCGGTTTATAGGTCAGCTCACAGAGCCTGACCTGGAGTCTGTTTTCAGCCTGTAGGCATGTGATGGAGCTTACTTTGACCAGTTGTTAAAATGAAGGCTTTGTCACCCCTATGAGGCCATTGTCATTGTTCACAAGAAAGGGAATAACGAAACTTGGTGTAAAGCAAGTTCATAGTCATTTCTGTTCTTCCACATACAAGTGTTTATTTTCATTCTATGCCTGCTTATAGTCCTCATTTGCCTGGAGATTTTCCCCCTTTTTACGAGCTTCCAGTCAAAGTGAAACAGATCATGCCTCAGTCTGTTGAAGTGATCCAGATGCAACACAATAACAGGTCACCCAAGTAGATTTTTAATAGTTTTTCCTGCAAATTTAAACCCATTTTTTGGAGGTGCTGTCAGAAAAAGGTCTATTTTGGAGCACTTTCCACAGCAGACAATTTGACTCATCACAGTGGGAACATGCCGTCTATGATAATGACACTAACGTTAGCTCTGTCTGTCGGTGTTTCAGTAAACCATGACAGTGAGTGAGTAAAAGGCAGTGAGCCAGGATGCACATTACCCGAATGCCGATAAAAGGAATTCAGCCATCTCTGGTTTAATAATTTAAACCTCAGGTTCTCCTTCTGTAAGATGCCCAAGTGTCTGCTGCAAAAATGTCCTAACTATCCTAACTTAACCAACATTTTTTTGAGCAAGTGCAAAAATCCAGCAGTTGTTTGAGTCTGTGGTGATAATGTATGGCTTATTCTGCTGTGCAGTATCCTTCCATTGCTTCCCTGAAGCTGCTAAAACTTTGTTTTGAAAAAATAATCAAGATGCATCATGCTGAATCATTAAGAAAAAAACAGTATTTAACTCTGCAAAAATACAGATGTATATTTACACACACACACATAAAGCATATGTAAGCACTTCTTAGTAGGAACAAATGTTGAAGGTTGGAGCTGAGCACCATAAACAAAATAGGGAAGCTGGAATGACGCTTTGCTGCCTCCTATTGAACTGGCTGGCAAAAGCACAAATATAAAATAACACTGGCCATATGCTTTAAATAGGACTCTGTGGCATCAATTTGTTTCTGCTGTGCTAGTTACAGATTTGGGACACAGCAGGTCAGGAGCGCTTCAGGAAGAGCATGGTGGAGCACTACTACCGCAGCGTCCACGCTGTCATCTTTGTGTACGACGTGACCAGCCTTTCTTCCTTCGAGAGCATCCCCGAGTGGATTCAGGAGTGTAGCCGGCACTCCGTGGGGCCCCTTGTGCCCCGCATCATGGTAGGAAACAAGTGTGACCTGAGGGACCGCCGGGAGGTTCCCACATCAGCCGCACAGTGTCTCGCTGACAGCTACAACTTCCCGCTGTTTGAGACTTCAGCCAAGGACCCGTCTGAAAAGGAAAACGTGGATGCTATCTTTCTGACTTTAGCTTACAGGCTGAAGAGCCACAAACCCCTGAGACTAAAGCAACCCAGTGAGAGCAATTTGAGACAAATGTGGAACCAGAAAGAGCGGGAAGCAGCAACTTGTCAATGCTGAGGTCACCTACATCCTCCATGGATGTACTTGGATTATTTAATACTATAATGGCAGTCCTTCAGGAGTGTGCTGAGAAAAGCAGATTTCAACAACGCCGAGGCTTAAAATTTACAAAGCACTCTCAAATCAGTTAGCTAGAAATGATAGAAGCTTGGTAAGATTTTACAATTTTCCCTGCCTGGAATGAGGCACAGCTAAAATAAATAAACAAGTCCGTAAAATGCATGAATGCATATGGAGGTGTGCCGAGTATTTGTAGCCCAAACTGCACTTCGATCACCGAGTCTGCAAACAGAAGATTGCAGAGCGCACTTTAGTGGATGCATGATCATAAATGATATGCAGCCGTCGCCAGTACAGCAGCATTACTGCACTACAATGTATCTGCAGCTCTCAATGCAATTAAAAGACAAACTTAATGAAGAGAAAATTTGATTTTTTTTTGTGTGTGTGTGTGTAAAGGGACCAATAGGATATGCTGATACTGTGACGAACACTGCAATTGCAATTGAAGTGATATTTTAGTTCTTAAAAGTGCAGTGTGAGACTTGGTGCTGTTATTGAATGTATTTGTGTCAGCTCATGCACACGGAGAGCTGTCTGGAAAGAAAGCTCAAGAACACAAGGGATAAAATATAGCTGCTACACATAGTTCACTTGAAAAGCATGCCTAAAAAGAAACTCAGTGGATCTGAGGAAAAACACCACAGCTGACTGTTTAATTTGTTGCATGTATACAATAATAATAATACACTGTACAGATGCAAATCAATAAAAGTGGTTGTTTCAGTGTCATGTTTTCTGAATGTTTCTGGTGTTGTTTGCCACTCGAAGTGTAATGTCACTGCTCTGTCAGTTATTGCTTCACAGCAATTATTTTTCATTTTAATTCATGACCTGTAGACAATCTAGATCCACTTTAATTTCTGCTAAGGAAAAGAAAGTCTCACTTAATCACCTGAAAAGGATCGTGTTACATGATTAAAAGTTCCAAAACTACAGCTACAAGCTTTGTAGTGAAATTAAAGACGATATCTTGCAGTATTTGACACATTAGCGGCGACCAGTGGCAGACTTGTGCACGACATAGGTCTTTTGATAAATTAGCGAAAACATATAAATGGCAAATCCTTCACTTGTAGCTAATTTTGTAGTTATACATAGAATACATCTAACAACTTAGGCCTTACTAGGTTAGATTTTCGCTGCGTTAATAGTGTTAATATATAAGCAGCGATCACAGGTCGGCAGCCGAGTTGCTTTCATCGGCGACGTCTAGGGTGTCGCATTTACCAGCCTACAGCAAATCCGTGAAAGCAGCACGGCAAAATGCTGTTTGTATTCCTCGCGCGGCGTCTCTCCGCGGCCATGGTAACACTGTCCTCAATGCTGGACATCTGATTAAAAACATACAAGCAAGGGCTTTTCATACAGGTATGAGATTTTTTTTTCTGTGAACACGCAATTAAAATTTAATTTAGCTCGTCGGTAGAGTGTTTTTGTCTACGGGCAATTTGAACGCAAGCTGGGAGGATTAAGTACCGTTTGGGTTATTGGCACAGGATTCGTTTTGTTTTCTCGTCTGTGGCCTAGTAGCAAAGCTAGCAAAGGGCTAACGCCGGTAATATTACAGGGTGTGTTCAAAAAAGAAGCTGATTTGAACAGAGGTTTCATTTAGTGATCAGGTAAAGCGCCTCGGGCAAATGCGTTCATTCAAAAACCGACATCAGCTAGCTTAACTAACGTGCTTTACCGGGTGTAGCCGTTTCTGAGTTATCCGATGGGCAGCCGACATTCAAGGAGCTGCCCCATCTTGTTATGAGATTCAGTTATAATGAGGACACTTAATAATAATAATAATAATAATAATAATAATAAAAGGAAGAAAATGTGGAGGCTTTAGATTGAAACACTGAACTAGCATTAACCTTTGAACTCTTACTGTTTCACTAATCAGGTCATGCAATTGCTTGTTTCCTTTTTCCATGTAGCTGTTATTAAGCATGAATCTGGCAGAGATATGTGACAACGCCAAGAAGGGCCGTGAGTACGCCTTGCTTGGGAACTATGACTCCTCCATTGTGTACTACCAGGGCGTCATTCAACAGATCCACAAGCACTGTCAGTCCCTCAGAGACCCTGCACTTATAGTCAGATGGCAACAGGTGAGTCCCCTGGTATATTAGTTACTGAACCTGAGACTTC